TGAGGCCACTGTGAGCAGTAACTACCCACAGTCCCTGTGTGAAAATGGTAAAAGGCCACCGTTTGTTTAAGCCTGGCCTCCCATTCCAACAGAGCTTACCCACATAAGCCAGAGGAAGCTGTTCCAACTGTTCTTCGGAGAGGCATTTGTGCCTATTTAGAAGTGGCAATGGGTCCATGAAGATTTACCTTGAGCCACTTGCTCTGGGGGTTTTCCAGCTACAGTACAAGAAGTCCACCTGACTTGAAACTGCCATGTGGAAAGGGTACAAATGACAGGGAAAACCAACCTTGAGAGATGACTGTGTCACCCCAGATGTCCTGCCTTTCCTGACTACCCTTCAGATGACAATGTCCTGGACACCCACCTGAAAATACCTAGCTGAACAGCTTGCTACCTCTCCCCCACCACAACTGAGGGACAATACATAATTTGTTTTATCAACTAAGCTTCCAGGAAATTTGCTAGGCAACAATATATATGACATGTATATTAAATCATTTAATTGTCACAATAACCCCAACAGTCGTTGTCAAGTCTCTTTTCTAAAATAAGGAGATGCTGGCTGTGGTGGAGCACTCCTTTGATCCCAGCACTCAGGAGGCTGAGGCAGGTGGATCTCTGTGAGTTCGAGGCCAGCCTGGGCTACATAGCTAGTTCCAGGACAGCCAGTGCTACACAAAGAAACTATGTCTCAAAAAAGCAAAAACTAAAATAAAATAAAATGAGGAGACTGGAGGCCAATGGGAGCGGTATGGCTCAGCAGGTGACTGTGCAAACCTGGTAACCTAAGTTCAGTCCCCGGGACTCAAAAATGTGGAAGGAGAAAACTCAGACCAACTCTACAGGGCTGTCCTCTGACCACCATAGTGCTCTTTGGTGCGTGCGCACACACGCACACACACACACATACACACACACACACACACGCATGCCCAGTGATAACAAACGAGATCAGAAACTGTACAAGCAATGCCAAGAGCTCTAGGTATCAAGGCAGGCAAGAAACAGGACAATCACCTCAGTTCTGGCTGACACATGCATGATTCCTTAGCAAAACTCATCCATCTTGACAAATATTGACACATTTAGATGGAAGAACTAGAAATGTGGACAGAGTCATGTAAATATGCTGGCAGGTATGCTGGCCAGGGGGTAAAGTTGAATGAGGCTGTCAGTCTGCATAGCATTGGCAAGGCATGGGCTTCTGCCCTCAGCACTCTAAAACTAAGCAAAACAATAACCCCAAATATTAAAACAGAGACTTTTCTCTACACGGATACACATGTCTGCTGCTCTGTGCCCATGATATTCAATATATTAATATTTATTTAACATATTTAATTTATTTAATATATTTATTATATATATTGTGAGGGTATTCAGGCAGGGACGTGGTAACAGGCAAATGGACCTCTTGAGCAGCACAATGTTTGAGGCTTTAGTACTTGGCAAGCAACTCTGGGGACATGTTGATGGCAGGCCCTCGATGTCACAGGTGCTGAGGAGAGCAGTAATGATAGAGGACTCAGTGAGTATTCTCTTGGATGCTGCTGTTCTTGTGTCTGTCACATCCACTTCTTTCCTGGGTCCACTTAATGATTATGAAAGCTACCCAAATCCTCTAAGCCTGTCCTTTTTATTTTATGTATTTAGTGTGTTGGGCATAGGGCGTGGAACCTAGATCCTCAAGCATCCTAGGCAAGTGCCATATCACAACACAGTACTACCAACCTTCTAGATTTTTATTAATTATGCATTCACCCATTCAGTTTTGAGACAGAATCTCAAACCAGGCCTGTCTCAACTCACTGTGTAGGCGAGAATGACCTTTAAACTCTGACCCTCCTGCCTCCATCTCCCTAGTGCTGGGATTAGAGGTGTACAGTGCATCCTGCCAGGGCCTCAGTTACAGCTTTGTCTTCTAGGCTATTACAGTAAGTCAATTGTCACCATGACCTCATTTCCACATACCGTTCATTGCCACAGAATTTTCGGCAGAAGTGAGACCATGTCGCTCGCTACCCTGCTAAATGATCTCATATATTACCCATGTACAGCAAAGCTCAAATGGTTGTGTGAAGCTGTCACAGCTACTCCTTTTTTTACTCCCTTAGCCCAAATACCTTCTCTAAAATTGTGAACACTGCCTTATTTGTTTATTTATTTACTCATTTTAAAATGATAGCCTTGGGCAAGCACCTGACTGGCCAGACCAATCAACAGTCCATTCTAGAAATTGCTTGACAATTAGTTCATTTCTGTCTAGATGGTTGCAGTATCCAGCATCAGAAATGGTCAGTGACCACATTTTCCTCCCTACTGAGCCAGAAAAATGGAGAACATTCAGTGTGGGGCTCGGTCAGAAAATCAAGGTCAACCTCAGCTCCATGGGAGCTGTCCAAGGGGGGCAGATCAGATTCCTATAAACTCCTTCTGAATTGATTTCCACTTTTTATTTCTCTTTTTGTTTTTTTAGGTAGGCTCTCATGTAGTCTAGTTGGCACTGAATTCACTAGGTTGCCAATGATAACACTGAACTCCTGTCTCTACCTCCAGAGAGCTGGGATTCTAGAGATACCTACCATGTCTGTTGGGTGCCTCTGAGCACATTAGGCAAGCGTTCTTCCAACTCCATCCCAGGCCTGGCTTGGACTGTTTGGTACCTGTACCCAACAGTCCTGAACCACCGTACAGAATCCAGCTCCTCAAGTCATCATCTGGGTGCTTCTTTCCCTTAAAGAATACTTCATGTGAACCTCAGAATGCCATCCAGAGGTCCTTACCACTGCGAGGCTCCACAATGCTCCACTCTGCTCACTGTCCTCTGGTATATGCCTATCCAGTCAATCACACATCCAATGTGATGGCAGTTCTACTTACCTATTGCAAGGTGTTTTCTGAAAATGTCTTGCCTTCAAAGAGACTGAACTTTTGTTAGACCTCGAAGCCAAGTTAGTAATATACCTGGAGGCCATTTAAGATTATGTGCTTTGCCAGGGAGTGGAGGCCCGCACCTTTAATCCTGGTACTTGGGAGGCAGAGGCAGGTTTGAGGCCAGCCTGATCTACAAAGCAAGCTCTAGGACAGCCAGGACTTTAACACAGAGAAAACTTGTCTCAAAAACCAAAAAAAAAAAAAAAAAAAAAAAAAAAACCAAACCAAAAAGACTATGTGCCTCACCTGCTGTCCTACTGTGTGCTCAGCCTGTTTAATCTGCAAACAATGTAACCAATCTTTTTTTCTTAAGATTTGTTTATTTATTATGTACACAGTATTCTGCCTACACACCCAAAGAGGGCACCAGATCTCATAGATGGCTCTGAGCCACCATGTGGTTGCTGGGAATTGAACCCAAGACCTCTGGAAAAGCAGCCAGTGCTCTTAACCTCTGAGCCATCTCTCCAACACAACATAACCACTCTTTATATGCTTTGAATTTTCCATGCAATCAGCTTTTACAACCTAGCTTTACTCTTAAAAATTATATACTCTTCCATGAACCAGAATTGTATGTGTGTGTGTGTGTGTGTGTTTACTGAAAGCAGCTAGTGGGTTAAAAGTAACCTTAAAACGAATATCAACCATAAATGTTAGAAGCAAGTGACATTGGTTGATAAACATGTGTGAGGTTTTGAGTGTTATTGTGGGTCAGCTGAGGTCAGTGGTTTCTTCCCATGTAAACTTGTTGAAGAGTTCTGTAAAAAAAAAAAAAAAAAAAAAAAAAAAAACCCTCATTTCTTCTCCATATATGTTTCCTGTGCTGGTCAATAAATACAGAACAAAGCCCTTTGCTAGGGCAGGTGTAACACACAGGAAACACAGGGCAGGTAATGGGGGTAGATAAGACACACAACACATGGGCTACAGACAGGTCAGAAACCACCAACTACAAATGGAAGACACATGGAGAGAAATGGGGAATTCACATTTGTGCTCACTCTTGGTCAAACTATTCCAAGAGGAAGTCTGATTTGCTAGTGTGACATCCATGCACTTAACTCTCATTTATTATATGTGTGTGTGTTTGTCAGTGTATGCCATTGTGTATGCAAGTGCCTGTGGTACTGAGAAAAAGGTATCATATGGCCTGGAGCTGTAGTTGTAGGTGGTTGTGAGACAACCAACATTGAGTCCTCTGGAAGAACAAGTACTTTTAACCACTGAGTCATCTCCCTAGACCCTTATGTGCATTTTAAGCTCTTCAAAGGCAGTCTTATTTGTTTACGTAACTCTACAGCCTACCACCACTGGGGCACACATAGTTGGAATTTGATAAACAATGGATAGACACGATTAGTACAATTCACCAAGTAAATTACCATTATGCTAGCTCTAGCAAATCTAGAAGGACATAGCCAATTGATGACTGAGAAGACTCCAGTTAAGCCCCCAGTAACCATGCTGGGTGCCTAAGGCATCTGTAAGTTAAGCTCCAAGTGATCTGGTCCTGTCTTCTGGGCTCCACAGACACCTGCATACATGTGTCTGAAGGCCATGGCCAACTGATGAACCCAGTATCTGATAAAGACAGCTGTCTCTGGATACAGTTCAGTATTTGAATACAAGAGTAACTTAATGCAGCTGTCCAGCAGGAAGCAGTATCCACTGAAAAACCACCACTGCACTGTCCAAAGGGGTCTAGGTTAGTCTTGTGCGTGAGACACACTCTTTTTCTCTATCTCTAGTACTAAAAACACACCAGCCATTTTTAGAGCTTAGGCAGTCTGCACTAAGTATTCTTGAGAACCCCTTTATGTTTTAAACTTTGGATTTGTTTTTAGTTATCTACCTCAACTTCATCGGTTCAGAATACCCAATCTAAAAAATCCTAATCCAAAATCTGAAAGTTTCTAAATGAAATAAATACCAGATTTTGTATTCTTCAAATTAAGGAATTGCAGACTATATATATATTTTCTAAAAACTACAACAGACAGAGAGGAGGTATGTTATTCAATTTTATATTCAGCACAGAAAACAAAGGAAATGGAACACGATTTCTTCATGGCAAAGATGGTTTATTGTACTTCATAGGAGAAACGTAAGAGTGACACTTTCGTATAGCAAAACTACTCATTGAAGAAACATGAAAGAGCAATACAACCAAGCAGTCTGTGGTCAACCACAACAGGTTCTAAAGTAGTTTGCTTTGGGTTCTCAAAGTAAGATTCTTCTAAAACATCCAATACTTCCAATTAAATGTCAGTTAAAATAAATTCACAGAGATACAAAATGTGTGATTTGTGCTTAAAAAAATTAATAACTACATGTCAGCTCACCATCATTTTGGAAGCGATGTCAACAGTCCATCAAGTGCTTCACAAACACTTTAAAATACATCCAAAGGCCCTCTCTTGATAAGTATCTTTTTAAAAGAAGAAACTACTAAAGTAGTAGATTGTTACAAATGAGATACAAATGTTTTAATTAATAAATACTAAAGGGAAGAAATGATGCTTTTCACAGAATTGAAAAGAATGCTTATTAACTCCTTGAAAAAGGAAACAGTCTGTCACTTTAAAAATAAAATGTGAGGGCAGTACAGAAGGAAACCACAGATGTGCTGGGAAACCCTACCTATTCTTTCCTTCGCTGTACAGAGTGTGAGAGAGAGTGAACAGCCTCCCTTCTGTAAAAACATCTGGAGCCACCTGCTACTACAGCCATGTTTCACTAGAAAAAGAGTTCGCAAGTCAGCATTAATTTAGGTAAGAAAATTTTTAATCTTTAATTCTAGCATGATTAAGAAAAATGTAATAGGCTAGTTCTGGTGTCACAAGCCTTTAATCCGCAGCAGTTGGAGGATGAGGCAAGTGGTCTGAGGCTACTCTGGTCCCAGGCCGGTCAGGCCTGCAAAGTAAGACCCCATATTTAAAAAATGAAAAAGAAAAATCTCTCTAAGTGCAAATAAAACCAACCTGGGCCCTAATATTTAAAAATGTATAAACATTTTTTTTTAAAGTATTTTACTTTCACTTAGTTAAGTAAAATAAACTTACTTTTGTAACTGAAGTTTCCAATTGGGACCTTTAGAATAATGAAACAAAAATCTGAAACTAAGCCAGGCATTGGTAGTGCACGCTTTTAATCCCAGCACTCGGGAGGCAGAGGCAGGTGGATCTCTGTGAGTTCGAGGCCAGCTGGTCTACAGAGTGAGTGCCAGGACACACTCGAAAACAATACAGAGAAACCCTCTCAAAAAAAAAAAAAAAAACAAAAACAAAAACAAAAAGAAAAGAAAAAAAAATCTGAAACTAAGTCTGAGTGTCTTTGTTTCCCACATTCTGAAAATATTTAAGTAAAATCTATTTTGGCTTAATTTCCTCTAAAATTGCCCAGGGTTGAAAGCTGTCAGAATGAGGATGTGCAAACTTAGGCCAAACACAATTTATACTCCATTCTGCAAACAGCTTCATACTGCAAACGTGTTACTTTCTTTGTGCAAAGTCTTAAATTCAAACTAAAAGTATTTAGGGTAAAAAAAAATTTTTTTTTAACTATTTCTTTCACCAGTGAGGAACAGATAAAATAATTTTACTACTACAGGAGCACATGTAGACTCAGTGACTTGAGGCACGCCCTCAGAGCTCTCAGCCAAATGGATGCTGAGAGAATCAGTCCTGAGTCTCCCAACTTATTAGAAGCAGAGGACAAGGGACACCAGGAACCACCTCTGACATTTCAATTAAAAGTCATGGATAAAATAAACTCCAAGTGTTTGGGTTCTTTTGATTAGTTTTTTTAGTGCTTAGATGCCACTGTAAATGAAAAGCACCATATTAACTCGCCATTTGCCTTTAGCTCTGCTCAGTAAGTGTACCCTACACGTATTTCTTTCACAGCGCAGGGACATGGAGTGGAACCAAGACTGAGCCTTCAAGTCCCTTCATGCTCACTGGAGGCCGCCTTCAACCGGTTGGCACTGGAAAGATGGCCTGGGTCATCCTATCTTTGCTTCATTTTCCATCCCAACTGTAAACTGGCCTTTTCTTTGTGTCGTCACAGTGACAAACTTATTAAGAGAATGCAACATACAAAAGGCAGCGCAACAACAGTAACAGTGGGATGATCCATTATGTTTAAGATTAATCTTATAAACTTAATTACACTTACTAGCGGTGTCCCTTCAGATTTAGTCAGACCTGTAACGGCCATACCTGTGACTTAGCACCAGCATGTCACTGCAGGCTTTGTTTCAGGTTTCAGGCTAATTCTGTTATCAGGCGGTTGGCTGAGCATCAGTGGCTTGTGGCTCTTCAGCTTATGAGCCAATGTCATAAATATAGCTTCTACGTGGTCATTATCATTGGGATTTTTAGCAGAGGTCTCAAACAAAGGCATACTGTGCGTGTCAGCAAACTTTTGTGCCAAGTCTGTGGGCACCTGAATGGCGCTTCTCAAGTCACATTTATTTCCAACCAGAATGCGAGGTATGTCATTTGCCAGCAAGTGTTGTTTGCATTCCTCTATCCAAGATGGCAGGCTGTGGAAGCTGGCCATGTTGGTCATGTCGTACACAAAGACGACAGCGTGCACGTTCCTATAGTAGTGCTGAACCATGCTCTTCCTGAACCTCTCTTGTCCTGCAGTGTCCCACAACTGGATCTGGAGCACGGGAGACAGAAAGCAAAGTCGACAAGTTCAGTCCAGTGACACATATCAAGCAACTTAATCACCTCTACCTGCTCCCTAACCCCTCTCCACTTATGAGCTTGTCTTTTCTGTGTTACCTGTGGGGCCTAGACTTCACAATTCTAGTCTAGTCACCATGTGACAACTAAATATAAATTATAAAATCAGAAAAGTACCGTCTTAAAAGTATTTTTTTTTTTTTTTTAAGAAAACTGAGGGGAAAAGGTTACAAAAGACAAAAGACTCAGAATATTTGTAGGCTGGAGCTATGAAAGGCCAGCACTGAGTCAAATGTACTGAGTAAGTGGTTTTTAATTTGTATCCTGTGTGCACACACATGCATATGTACATGATGAGCACATGCAGGTCAGGTCGACTCAGGAGTTTGCTCTCCACTGACACTTGTGGGATGCAGGGTGTAGTGCCTCTAGCCATTGGGCTAACCCTCAGTTCCGGGAACCCAACATCCTCTTCTGGCCCCTTTGTGGGCGTCAGGCACACATGTGATATATACACACTCATATACACAAAATAAAATTAAACGAAACCTTTCTTTAAAATCCTAAAAGTGGATGTCCCACCTCAGTCTCATGACCTCTGCTCCTGGAGTTATCACCTCCAGTTACCATGACTTGCCTTGGGTGGGAGCAGGCTTCATCAACAAATGACAGTTACTGAAACCCTTGGCTTTGCCTTCAGTCACTATTTTGTTCTTTCTCACCTGTCTTTTCATTGGCTTTCTTTGTCATTTTGTCAACTGACCTGTTTGCATAACTGAATACTTAGGCCCTGAGCTCTAACCCACTAGTACAGGCATTACTAGACCCAGATCCTACCCTAACAGGGAAGACAGATGCATAACACAGTAAGATGGTGTCAGTTGATGGGAGTGCTAAGGGGATTCCCATAGAAAGAAACTGAATGGCTAGGATTCTAAAGAGAAGTTAAAATCTTGCAGGAAAAGCAAACAGTAAGAAACCAGCAAATGACTTGGCTGAACTGCAGGATGACTGAAGGAAGAGGCAGCAGGCACCTGACAAAGGAAAGCCGTGTTAGCTGTTTTTAAGTGAGGTCAACTGAGCTACTATCTAAGTTCAAAGTCAGGTCTTAAGTTTTTCCCAGTAATGAGGATGAAATCTGTTGTCCTGAACATGCCAGACAGGTGCTCCATCACTGAGCTTCTAGACCTCTATCCCCTCAAAGGGAGGCTTAAAAGGAATATTGCAGCTAGGATTTTGATGAGAGGAGTAATAGGAAAAACTGCAGTAGGAAGCCAGTTGGATTAAGGGAGTAAAAGAAAAAGATTACATTAGGATGACCTAGTAGATTCTAAATTTTATATGATTTTCATTTTCTCCAATCATACAAAAACACGCTGGGGATATAGCTTAGTGGGAAGAGTACTGGCTTGTGTAGCACATAAAGAGGAAGCCCTGAGTTCAACCCAGCATAGAAAACAATACGAAATTCATTCTGAGATTGTATGTCACATAAAGACAGGAAGTAGAGCATTTGACTGTCACAGTTTCCTACTCCTTACCCTGCACTAGCGTTCTTTATGCTTAATACATTTGATTTATGGGGAGGAGATATCTTGGTTGTGTCTCCTTAGTTAATATTAACATCTTGTCTTTAACATGGCAAAATCTCTTCTCCCACTATAAATGACTGACATACAACAGCGGCTGCTGATCCCTGATGGAAGACTGGATTAAATCTCAACATATCAGGTTGAAGCACCTGCCAGGGCAAAATGTTGAGAGAGGAACACAGCTAAACAGTCAAGGAGGGAACATATGGATTAACACTGGGACAGTCAATTTGAAAGTCAAATGCATTTTTATTTAAGGAATTCATTTTTATTCAACTGCCAAAATTCTGTGAACAAGATTGCCCTCTTTCAAGCGTATGTATACAGCACTCAGAAATCGATCAGCAAGTACAGACGTTCTGTGGTTTTGTTTTCTGTGTTTTGTACTGTGTATGTTCAGACAGGCTCTCACTATGTAGCCCTGGCTGTCCTAGAATTAAAAAGGAAGATTCTTTTTGAGGCTTGGTGACCACTGATACGCAGCTCAGTTGCCTAGCTGCATAGCCTGAGGAGCCCTTTTTGGACAGATCTGTGTGTGCTGGGATTAAAGGTGTGCTATCATGTCTGCCTCAGTATTTTGGTTTTTTGAGACAAGGAGGCCTGCAATTCATTAAGCAGTCAGGTTAGCCTTGAATTTAAGGCCATCCTTCTGGCTCAACTTCACACTATGTAGCTCTGGCAGGCCTATAGCTCACATACAACTATCCATCTCTGCTCCAGGAATGGCGAGAAGGAAGGCATGGACCACCACATCTAGCTTAAGGAAAGGTTTTACAAAGATTGTATACACACAGGGATGGGGACAGAGATTAGTCCACAGAATGCTGTCACACATGGCCCTGGATTTGACTCCAGCACCTGGGTGCTTGCCTGTAATCCCAGGATCCAGGTGGCAAAGATAGGAGATTTACAAATTCAAGGTTAGGTATGGGAAATGTGGCCCTGTCTCAAAAAACACAGCAGCAGAGAGCAACTGAAAGAGACATCAAACATCAACCTCTGGCCTCCACACACGTGAATGAACATGTGAACACACTCACTCTTATTCACACAGGCACGCATGCGCACACATACAGTTCAAAGTCATCCTTGAATATATACACTCTGAAGTCAGTTTTAGGCATGGAGGGCTAGAGTGATGGCTTAAGAACACTAGCTGCTCTCCCCAAAGATTAGGATTTGATTCCTAGAACTCACGTGGTGGCTTAAAATCTTCTGTAATTCCAGTTCCACAAGAACCTAATGCCACTGTAGGCTCTGCATACACAAGGTACAAAGACATACATGCAGGAAGTACCAGTATACATAATATAAAAATATTTTTAAGTTCCAGGGGTGTGCCTTAGTTGTGGAAGTGGTAGAACACTCAACTAATAGGTAGGGTTTGGATTCAAGCCCTAACAATACCACAACCACAACCAGTACATATTTCTCTAGCAGATAAGACTAAGGTGATCTGTCAGATGCACTGGACAGGTGGACAAGATGAAGAGGGGGTGTGTGTATTCATGTGTGTGCATGTGTGTGTTTGCATGCAAGATCGTGCAGGTAGGTATTAGAGACAAGGTCTCACTGTTCCCTAATTGTCTTGGAACTTGCCATTTGACTGGGCTGACCTCAAACCAGATCTGCTTGCCTCTGCCTTCTGAGTGCTAGGATTAAAGATGGGCACTCCCACACCCACGCCTGGCTCCATAACTTTGTGAGATATTTTTTCAGAAAAGAAAGTACATTCTTTATTCTGAGCCAAGGACTGACATGAAAACAAGGTTTAATTGACTATTCCTCACACCTGTGAATTTTCTTTTATCTTACTTTTTTTGTTTTTCAAGACAGGGTTTCTGTGTAGTCCTAGAACTCACTGCGTCGGTGGTTCTCAACCTTCTTAATGCTGCAACCCTTTAATACAGTTCTTCATGTTGTGGTGACCCCCAACCATAAAATTTTTTTTCATTGCTACTTCATAACTGTAATTCTCTACTGTTAGTGATCATAATGTGTTTCCTGATGGTCTTCGGCAACCCCTGTGAAAGGGTCATTCAACACCTCAAAGGGGTTGCAACCCACAGGTTAAGAAGCACTGCACTAGTCGGGCAGCAGCGGTGTACAACTTTAACACCAGCACTTGGGAGGCAGAGGCAGGCAGATCACAGTGAGTTCAAGGCCAGCCTGATCTACAAAGCAAGTTCCAGGACAGCCAGGATTGTTACACAGAGAAAGCCTATCTCAAAAAACAAAACAAAAAAGAGCTACTGCACTATGTAGACCAGGCTAGCCTAGAACTCAGAGATCTGTCTACCTCTGGCTCCCAAGTGCTGGGATTAAAGGCAAAGGCAGGTGAATCTAGGTGAGTTAGAGGCCAACCCGATCTACATAGAGGGTTCCAGGACAGTCAGTCAGAACTCTGAGAAAGACCATTTCAGGGGTGGTGATAGCTCAGCATTTAAGAGCACTGGCTGATGATCCATGCCCTTAATCCTAACACTCAGGAAGCCAACCTGGTCTACAAATGGAGTTCCAGGACAGCCAGGGCTATTACACAGAGAAATCCTGTCTTTTTTTTTTTTTTAATTTTCAAATTAAAAACAATCTTATTTTACATACCAGTCCCAGTTCCCTCTTCCTCCCATTCCCCACTCCATCATCCAATCCTCAGGGAGGGTGAGGCCTCTCATGGTGAATCATCAAAGTCTGTCACATCATTTAGGGCAGGACCAAGGCCCTCCCCACTGTATCCAGACTGAGAGAGTATCCCTCCATAGGGAATGGGCTCCAAAACCCCATTCATGGACTAGGGATACTGGTTCCACTGCCAGCAGCCCCATAGACAGCCTAAGCCCCAAAATGACACCCACGTACAGGGGGCCTGGTTCTATCTCATGCAGGTTCCCCAGCTGTAAGACTGGGGTCCATGAGCTCCCACTTGCTCAGGTCAGCTGTTTCTGTGGATTTCCCCAACATGGTCTTGACCCCTTTGCTCATCACTCCTCCCTCTCTACAACTGGATTCCAGGTGGCTCAGTGCTTAGCTGTGAATCTCTGCTTCTATCAGCTACTGAATGAACAAAGAGTACCCTAAGAGAGACATACATAGACTCCTGAGAAGGGGAAAGGGACAAGATCTCCTGAGTAAATTGGGAACATAGCAGGAGGGAGGAAGGAGAAAGAAGAGGGGAGAAGGGGAAGGAGGAGGAGAACATGAGGAATCAGGAAGGTTACGTTGGGAAAAGAACAGAGAAGGAGAGCAAGGAAAGAGATACCTTAATAGAGGGAGCCATTATGGGCTTAGCTAGAAACATGGCACTAGGGAAATTCTCAGGAAACCACCAGGATGACCCCAACTACCAATCTAAGCAATACCTTAAGCCCTTCCCCTGTAATGAGACTGATGACCAACTTAAATGCCATCATAGAGCCTTCATCCAGAAACCCTGTCTTGAAACAAACAAACAAAAAGAGCACTGGCTACCCTTCTAAAGGACCCAGGTTCAATTCTCAGCACCCACATGGCAACACCCAATTTAGACATACATACAGGCAAACACTAATGCACAAGAAATATAAATAAATTTTAATTTAAAAGACTCAAAATTAAATACAAAAAATATAATTTAAAAAAACGCAAAAACAAAGCAAAAGGCCTGATAGCCCATATATGTTAGTCTGTTTTCTGTTGCTATAACAAAACTTCCAAGGCTGACTAATCTAGAGAATAGAGGCTTTCATTTGGCTCACAGCTTTATAGGTGGGCAAGCCACTCCCAATAACCCTTTAATCCATAAATGAAATTAATCTACTAATTTATGAATGAACTAATCCCTTACCCCATCAACAGATTAGTCTAATTGATCTATGAAGGGATTAACCCATTCATAAATCCAAAGGACCCAATCACCTCTCAAACATCCCACCTCCAAGTCTTATTAATTTAGGAACTTGGGAATTAAGTTTCCAACATGTGAACTTGGAAGACAAATACAAGCTACACCACAGCCCAAAGCTTTTCAGCGGCTCACACTTGCACCTGTAACAGTTGGGCACCAAAGCCTGAGCAACTTCCCCACAACTGCTTATCCCAGGCTAAACATGCACACACCAGAAACCTTAATCTTTCCTCCTGCTGCCAACTTCTACATCTAACCCAGTTTTGCTTTTAAAAATAAAGAATTCACCTTCTACTCATCTAGCTCTTCTTGCTATGTATACAAATGTTATTCCTCAGCTTCCGCTAAAGATAAAACACCTGGCCCTGCATGTGCTAGTAAGCACCCTACCACTGAATAACACCTTCTTTGACTAAATCTCCCTTTACTTTATACTACAGTATACCCTAATGACCAATACTGGCAGCCTGAACAAGATGATCAGTCCAGTCAAGAAAGTACTTGCTGCTGGGTGGTAATGGCTGTGGTGCCCCACACCTTTAATTCCAATGCTCAGGAGGCAGAGGCAGGCAGATCTCTGTGAGTTCAAGGCCAACCTGGTCTACAGACTGAGTTCCAGGACAGGCTCCAAAGATACACAGAGAAACCCTGTCCCCCCAAAATAAAATAAAAGAGAGAGAGAGAGAGAGAGAGAGAGAGAAGTACTTGCTAAGCTAAATTTGGACCTCAGGGAGGCAGAAACAGGAGGATCCCTGGGGCTTGCTAGTTAGTCTCATTGAATCAGTGAGCTCAGATTCACTGGGAGACTGCCTCAAAAATGTAAAGTGGAGAGCAACTTCAGAAGACAGACATGAACATATAGAGTCTAGACTTAGCCCCCCACCCCACACACATACACTCTTATGCACACATGTGCATCCATAAACATAAAAATAAAAGGAAATGGTTTCTAGGCTCCCCTTTCCTTTACTAGGGGTAAAAGCTCTTTGAGGGCAGGGAGGGGTGGTGAGCAAAGAAACAGAAACATTGGCTGGGTGGGGGGTTGCACATGTCTTGAATTCTAGAACTCTCAAGAGGCAGAGGCAGGTGGATCTCTGTGAGTTTGAAGCCAGCCTGGTCTACAGAGTGAGTTCCAGGACAGGCTCCAAAGCTACACAGAGAAACCCTATCTCAGAAATCCAACAAATAAACAAAAAAAAAAAAAAAAAAAAAAAAAAAAAAAGAAACAGAAACTCGGTGCCTCAAGGATAGAAGTGTAGGAGTAGTAAATCAAATCTCTTCCAAGTAGTCCGAAGTAGAGGACCCAATATAAAAGCAAAGCAAAAGCAGTTGCTTATGGAAGTCAGGATAGTTCCTAGGTTTTGTGTTTGGGTTTTGATTTAATTGTTTTCATATTTTGAGATGGGGTCTCACTGTAGTCCCCCACCCCCACTTCACAGGTTTTAAGGAGCAGTATTAAGTGAACTTAGTGGTTTTGCAATAGAGTGCCAAGGTTTACACCAAGGTCCCTAACTTTACAAGGATCCTTATTCTGCAGTCCCAGAAATCCAGCCCTTCAGAACCCCAGTCCCGCCTTCCCTAATATAATAGCGTCTGATGTCTTAGAAGCCACCTGGGAGAGGGTCTGTGCTTGCATCAAAAGATATGATTTTGGCAACCCACTTAAAAAACATTACCTATATAATGCTTCAATAGGAAAATAGATTTTTTTTTTTCCCTAAACAAATTGGTTATCATACAGAAACTGCCTCAAACGCAACAGGCTTTATTTCCACAATACTCAGCATTTATGCAATGTTCAAATGAATTCTTAAAAATAACTGAGTTTTCTGTGCTTGAAAATGTTTCCCAGAACTTAATTCAGGCAATGGGGGTGGCGGTTAATGACTGTCTCCTACACCACTGACACCCAAAGTGTGGTCCACAGGTTTGTTGCATGTGCGTCATATAGGAGCTTACCAAATCATACGTGCTTTTCTGAAAAGCAAGATGACCCACGAAAAGTTGATGCACGTTAGAGGGGGACACTGCCTCAGAAGTTTGCTACTTACAAACGCACTTTCCACGCCAGCGTGGCAGTACACGGAGAGCACACTCCTGCGGTCCAGACACCTGCAAAGCTCGGGCGGCCCTGCGCCGCGACAGCCCCCACCCCGGCCCCGGCTCACCTTGATGCGCTCACCATCGATCTCCACCGCTCGCTCTCGGAAGTCCACCCCGATCGTGGCCTCGGTGCGGTCGGGGAAGCGGCCGGCGCAGAAGCGGTAAGTCAGGCATGTCTTGCCCACGTTCGAGTCGCCGATCACGATGATCTTGAAGATGCGGGAGCGGGCGGGAGGCAGACACCCGGACGCCCCTGACACCGCACAGCTGGACGAGAAGCTGACCTCCAGCGACGACTCCATCTCCGAAGCCATCCTCCCTACTCTCTCTGAGCTGAGGGGGAGAAGGGAAGCCTCGGGAATGGCGCCACCTCAGCGACAGTGGTCTCCTGCAGCGATTCACAACACCCCACTCCCCAGGGCCCACGGGACCCTCAGCGCGCGTGCGCGAGCCCCGCCCGCCCCTGCCCTCCCAGGTGTGGCGCCCCGCTCAGGCCTTCCCCGCTCCGCCGGCGCTGTGTACCTGGAAAGACGGGTCGGCGCTCCCTGGCTGGAGTGCAGCACGGAAGGTCCGCCCGGGGGAACTTGTGTGTGAGGCACTCCGGACTTGGACCGGCCCCGCCACGTCCAACATTCCCCGGCTCAGAAGGAAGCGGCGCAGCTCCTCAGGGGCGGGGAGAGAGACGGCGGAGAGGAAGGAGGTGCGGCCCGGACCCTGTCTCGCGAGAGGCGACCGCGCAGTGGTGGTAGCCACTGGCCAGTGCGGGCATCCGAGCAGAGCGGAACCGCGTGGGCAGAAGAGTACGAGGCTGCTCAGTCCCTAGGCCCGAGCCTTTCCCGGCGCAGCCATAGTCCCTTGAGGTTATTATCCTTGGATCTTTGCACCCAAGCCTTGTTTGATTCAAATACCACCGATCACTGTGGGACTCTTGGGAAATCCGAACCCTTTACACAGCTGGGCGTGGCAGTCCACGGTTAGAATGCCTGCTAGTTCGAGCCTAGGCAGAAGGATGTATGAAGTCCTAGTCCTCAGGGTTGGGAGCCTAGTTTTTAATTCCAGCACTTGAAAGGCAGAGGCAGGAGAATCTATGAATTCAAGGCCAGCCTGAGCTACATTGCGAAAAATAAATTGAGAACAAAGACCTAATCCATCAACATCCACAGTTCTGGGAAAGTCCCTAATTTAATCCATCAACATCCACAGTTCTGGGAAAGTCCCTAATTTGGTAAGCCTTGCTTTTCAACTTCTGTAGTTCTGCTTATGGCTAACTGTACTTGTTAACTGAAGTATGTAAACCAACCTAGAATATGTATTTTTCTTTGATTAAAAACTCACCCTGAGAAAGGCTGACTGCACTCGGGACCTAAAAAGGACTTTCTACTTGCTTGAACCCATGTCCATGACTATAGAAACCCTGTCTTCAAAAAACAAACAGGCTTAGGGATGTAGCTCATTTGGTAGAGTGCCCAGTTTCAAATCTCAGCACCGTAAAACAAAGCAAAACAAAAACCAGGTATACTCAGAGAGTTGACAATCTAACTTGTCCTGGTGGCAGAAAAAAAACAGGTTACTAGAAGTAGAAAGGAATTACCTAATGATGAAAGGCTGCATTTAGTAGAAAGAATAAACTTGCTTGAAACTAATAAAAATGGTCCTAAAAATATATGGGAAAAATTTTGTAAAGTACAGAGCTATCCTTGGCTATAAGAGGTTCTGCCTCACCAAGCCTAGTGGCATACACCTTTAATCCCAGCAGGTGGATCTCTGAGTTTGAGGCTAGCCTGGTCTACAGAGCGAGTTGCTAGAAGGGCTACAAGGAGAAAGCCTGTATTGGAAAAACAAACACAAAAGTCAGAGAGATACTATCTTGAAAATGAAAACCTCACAAACAGAGAATAAACAATACAAACAAGTATAAATCAATAAAATTAGGGTTTTTTTTTTTTGTTTTTTGTTTTTTTTTTTTTGAAATAAGGTTTTTCTCTGTACTGTAGTCCTGTACTACACAGATCAGACTAGCTTCAAACTCACAGAGAATCTCCTGTCTCTATCTCCCAGGTGCTGGGATGAAAAATGTGCAGTACTACAGCTAAATTTGTTTTGTCTTAAAACACACACACACACACACACACAAAACCATTGGTTTGGACTGGTCCAGGTGGCACAGGCCTTTAATCCCAGTATTTGGGAGGCAGAGGCAGGAAGATCTCTTGAATTTTGACACTCTCTTCTACATAGAGTTTCAGGATACCCAGGTCCAAACAGATGCTGCCATTAAAGACAAAATGAAACAAATGGTTTTTCTTCACATACTGATTCTTTGCCACTTTGGTGACTCGTTCAATTCTTCCCTTTTTACTCCTTTTCATGTGTATGTGTGCGGTGGGTATGTAATACATGTTTGCATAGGCAGTGAGCATATGCATATCTACTCTGTGAGGCAGATTTTCTTAAGTTTTATTTATTTATTTATTTATTTATTTATTTATTATACAGTATTCTGTCTACATGTATGCCTGCAGGCCAGAAGGAGGTGTCAGATCTCTAGATGGTTGTGAGCCACCATGTGGTTGCTGGGAATTGAACTCAGAACCTCTGGGTGGGCAGCCAGTGCTCTTAACCTCTGAGCCCCAGGCTGAGGCAGGATCTCTTAATTAAACTCTGAACTCAAAATGACAATGTGGTAGGTGAACTGTTATTATGTAGACTCGGTTGGGTATATTGTTGTTTATTTAAGAGCAGAGCTTGCTAAATTCAGCAGGTTGACTTTGAACTTGGCATCCTCCTCCTGCCTTACCCTCCCAAGGTTCCGAGCTATGTGCCACCTAACCTGGCTGACAAACTTGAATATTTTTTTTTCTTCTTTTAACACAATGTATAGTGCTCATGCCTTTTATATGCCAAGCATATGTTCTACCACTTTCTTGGCAATACAGATAGGATTCAAAAATCCTTTGGTATTTTATCTAGTTGCATATTCAGGAGTATTTACAGAATTGGATGCCTAGGCAAAGCCCATGTGCTTTTTTTTTTTTTTTTTTTTTCTTTAACCATCAATTTGTGTCTCACTATGTTTTTGTATCTGGTAAAGCATGGTCCCTCATTATTGCCATCTTTTAGACAAGGACAGTCCATACCGAAGAGTTCCTTCATGAAATCTAAAGTCATCCTTGAAGGACTCAGGCCCTAATCCAGGCCCTTGCTTTGACAATCTTGCAGCCATAACAGGCTACAGTAAAGACCCCGCAGGATTGTAGGCCTCTTGGTAGCTAGCTTGCTCTGGGGAGCCCTCAGATCTTCCAAAGTAGGAATTACAGGAGAGCTACCAGGCCTGCTCAGAATTGCTCTGGGTTCTGTGGATCCAAATTTGGAGCCTCTTACTTGCTCTGCAAACACTCTAACCACTAAGTCATCTTCATCCACTACCAAAGAACCGTAGCTGAAGCTGGTCTAGAACTCACAATATACCTCTAACTAGCCCTGAATTTGTGGTAATCCTGCCTCAGCCCCCTGAGTGCTAGGACTACAGATGGGAGCATTATGCCTGGCTGGATTTTTCCATTGGCTTCAAAATGCTATTGAAGTCAAGTGTAATAGCACATGCGTATAATCCCAGCTCTGAGAAGGCTGGTACAGAAAGATTGTGAGTTCAAGGCCTGCCTGGCCCATGCAGTTGCTAGTGGTTACTTGTAGAATGTTTAGAGTTAAGAACTCTGAAGGATCGGTTAACACAATTTGTAAGTTAACAGGTTTGAGTGCTAGTAATGACCAAGAGACATGAGACTCTTGGGTGAGAAAGAAAGGGTACCTATTACAAGAGGCAGAGTATCACCGTGTACCCCATTCCCAGCATGGATGCTATGAGGCTTTGGTGATGCCTGTTTTATATAAGTAGTGACATTACAGGACAATAGTTCTTCAGGAAAACTGGTCTTCATAAATGGCAAACGAATCTGCACATCTTTATCGTGGAGAATGATAGTTGTAATGATTATTATATATGGTTTATTAAAACTTAAAGCTGATTATCAGAAAAGCAAATCAGCTGGTCACTTGATCTCACCTTTAGCTCAGGCTGAAAGGGCTGATCCATGTACAACCTCTTCACCAAGTCTCAAACTGCTGCCTCTTCTTAGTGTGGCTGGAGAACAAATGCCTCATAGTGATTACTTGTTCCTGACTTTTATACCCCTCTAGTGCTGGGATTAAAGGTGTAAACTATAATTCTCTTTTAGACTGATTCAATCTTGTGTAGATCTGGGTGGCCTTGGACCCAGAGATCCGTCTACCTCTTAATCCTGAATTCTAGGATCAAACATCACCTCCTAGCTTCTGGCTCCTGGGATTAAACGTTTGTGCCTGGCTTCTGTGGCTTGTGGCTGACTTTGCTTTCTGAATCTTCTGGCAAGCTTTAATGAATCATAAATACTGTCTTGTAGATGGAGTTTCTTTTCCTCCTGGTCCCACAGCCACTTTGCCCCAGATAAACACACAAATACTTATATTAACTATAAAATTGTTGGCTGATAGCTCAAGCTACTTTTTGGCTAGCTCTCTCTAAATATTAACCAATTTCTAATAAACTATGTATTGCCACTAGTCTGTGGCTTACTTGTAATCCTGCATGTTACTCTTTTGGCAGCATGGCATCTCCCTGGCAGCTTCTCCCTGCCTCCTCTCCCCAGAAGTCTCTTCATCTAGTAGCCCCGCCTATACTTTCTGCCTGGCTACTGGCCAATTAGTGTTTTATTCATTAAACAATAAGAGAAACAAATATATAGAAGGAAATCCCTCATCAGTGTATCACTGCAAGCAGTGCCTTTTTTTCATCCTAGAGAGCAAACAAGATTCCCCTTGGAACAACAAGAAGGAATTATCTTTGGCCTACAAAGATAAGAGCTATATAAATGCCCTGGAAAAGACAGCCCAGGAAGAAAGCTATAAGGAGTACGGGTTTTTCCTGCCGGCAGCCTAGTCTTGTCCCGCCGCCACACCAGCCCCAAATAATGCACAGAGACTCTGTATTTGATATAATCCTGTTGGCCAGTTACTAGTTTCTTATTGGCTAGCTCTATCTTAATTATTAACCCATTTCTATGTATTTCCACATGGTCTTACCGAGAGAAGAGGAATGGCTGATCTGTTCTCTCCAGACTCTCCATCTTGACCCCTTCCTACTACTTCCTCTTTCCTCCTTGTCTCCTAGTCCCGCCTATCTTGCTTTCCTATTGGCCAACAGTGCTTTATTCATTAAACCAGTATGAGAAACATATACAGAATGACATCTCCCATCAGAAAGCTGTTGATCCCCTTGCTTGAATCTGCAGACATGAGAGACCAGTGAGGATTAACCTTCATTAAATGGTTAACACTTCACCAGATAACTCTTCCATCTATGTTTAGTGTTAGCATTGTTGTTCCTAGGAGAACTGAGATTTTCCTCATTCTTTGTATGCTCAGTAATTTGGGATTACATCCTGGACATTTTGAACATTTTGTCTTGCAGTTTGGGTGCTATATAAATTCTATTGTAAATGTATGTCTGGATATTGTAGTGCATGCCTTAATCCCAGTACTTAGAATACTAGGATACTGAGGCAGAGGATAAATATAGTTGGCATTTTCTTTTGGCCAACCAACCAGCTCCTATACTTTCATTCCCAACCTCATATATAGCCAGACCCTGACCATGTCGAAAACAAATAAATGG